CATTGGGATCCGATTCCAGCGAATTACAAAGATGATTCTGATCTTTACGAGATTGATTTGAACCTTCGTCCGAGAAATACTTTTTTAAATATCTGATCGATGGGATGTGGATGGTAGATCCTTTGATTCCAATCGAACGAAACCAAAATGGATTCGATGATAATCTTGCATTGCCAATCATCACGTTACAACTCGTCACTGTTTATCGATTTCGTACCCATGCCTATCTTATCTATAAGGCACTTCGGGACGAGCTAGATTCAAGAAGATTTTTATGCAAAGTTGATAGAATTTCACGTGTCTCCGAAAACCCAAGGGGAAATTTAAAGAAACGTGGTCAAAAGAAGCGAAAATACGAACAAAAATTGGCATGATCACGCAATCAATTAATAAAATATTTCTTCGTATTATGTTAATACCAGCTGGCGCATTCGCAAAGGTTCACGGATGGGGATTTGGCGACCAGAAGAATTAACTTTAAAAGATCGTTAAACCATTGTCAATAGTGACTGGTGTTGATGTGATGAGCATAATGACTAATTTATCTTCATATTAAGATCATTCCTTTGCATATTTGGCATGTGACCAAAAGAAAATAAAGAAGTCAGTTAACAAATCTGGTCAATACCATAGTAGGAATGTAATTCCATTAATAAACTACGAAGCCTTCGCTCAATTTACTTTACTGGAGGTCTGGTACCCATCGCATGAACAATCCTTGTTACATATTAGTCATATTCTATGCCACCTGCGTTCTGTTAACCGTCAAGATCGGACATTATATACTCGATCAACGTCATACAAAAATTAATCATCTTTTTATGGGAAGTATCAGTCCCACGAAAATCGCAAATACATATATATGTAAATTCACCCCGAAAAATTTACGTGCGTGCATTCCAAAGTCGTCAGCCACATTCGATTTAGGTTAGCGCCGGAAGCTTGTTGACTAACGGTTTGGTTCTGGTTCCGGATTATAAAAACTCCGCAAAAAAATTTTCACGTTAAAAAACTCAACGACACTCCGGCATAGTAGTTAAAAGAATGGTATCGACCAAAAACGCGCTGATCCTAAAGCCAAGCGGAAACCCAATGCCACTTATCGGTCTTGGTTTATGGAAAGTACCAAAGGACAAAACTGCCAATGTGGTTTTTGATGCTTTAGAAATTGGATATCGATTATTGGTAAATCCGCTTTGATGATTTGCAAACTTGAATTTCCTTAATTTCTCATATTCCAAAATATTAGGATAATGCTGCGGATTATGGTAATGAAAAAGAAGTTGGAGATGGTATTAAAAAAGCCATTGAACACAAAATTGTTAGGCGAGAGGTATTATGTCCGCGAACACCACTCTTTTCAAATTGGTAAGTGGTAGGAAATAACTGATATCAAAAGTTTTCTTTCCCTTTGATAGGACATCTTCGTTACATCAAAGGTGAGAACTGTTTCACAATAAATTTTTACGTGCTAATCTTTGCGCTAAAAATATAATATTCGATCAAACGAATAAATGTTAGCTCTGGAATACCAATCATAAACGTGAACATGTACGGCCAGCACTAGAACGTACGCTCAAAGATCTTGGACTGGATTATTTGGATCTTTACCTGATTCATTTCCCAGTCTCGTTGAAGTATGTGGATAATCCCGTGTGGACAAAAGACAGTCCCCAGGATGATGCGACTATTAGGGAAACTTGGGAGGCAATGGAAGAGTTGGTTGATGCTGGATTGGTTAAGGTGCATATATGACTTGATGCGTCACCAATGTATATATATATATTTATATGTGACCAACTTTTTTTTTTTTTCCTTTAGAACATTGGTCTCTCCAACTTTTGTGCATCACTCATCATGGATATCCTCAAGTATGCGCGAATCAGGCCGGCAGTGCTACAAATCGAACATCATCCTTACCTAACTCAAGAAACCCTCATCAAATATGTGCAGTCACAAGGAATTTCGATCACGGCGTATTCGTCTTTTGGTAACCAAAGTTTTTTGGAATTGAGTGGCGAGGTGGGTAAAATGGCATCGACGACTCCTTCACTGTTTGAACAAGACATCATATCGGAGATCGCCTCGAATTATAAGAAGACTCCCGCTCAGGTAAATTTTCGTTTCAGTGAAAACGTTCCGTTCTTGTGCCCACCAGTTGAATTCCACATTTCTGTGACACCAGGTGTTACTTCGATGGGCATTCCAACGTGGAATCGCCATCGTTCCTAAATCAAGTAATCGCGGAAGGCTCACGGAAAATATAGATATTCTCGATTTCTCATTAACGGAGGTAGAATTACACCGAATCTCCTCGTTGAATCGTGGATTGAGATTCAATGATCCCGCGATCTATGCTAATATTCCCATTTTTGATTGATGCGGTGTCCAAATCGCCATTAACAAAAACTTTCGACATTTCATATAATTCATTAATCCTTTGAAAACGTTAGCATGAGAATCACGATTCCTCTGTCACGTAGAGCGTATCCTTAAAAAAAAAAAAAAAACGCTATCGGAAAGATCATGAATTGCAAAACTTTGTAAACCGATGATTTTTTTTTTTTTTTAAAAAAAAATAATAATGATGAAACGCAAATTTTATTATCTTTGTGTAATTTATAAATACGTAAATTAAATGTTATATTCATCTATCTCTAGTTCTGATGCAAAGTGTTCTTTCGCATTCTATCCCCGCACTAATGGGGAAATATAATTCACATGTCTAAAGTCAAACTATAACATGCAAGTGGAAACTAGTTTTTCTAAAAATGTATTTACAAGTGTGTATTAAAGATCTATGTTGAAAAGAAATAATCTATTTCGTGAATGGTGTAAGAAAAATTAAAAATTAATTTGTATGGTAAATAGTGTGGCGTTTATGATAAAAGTAAATTTACAACATGAACATCGCTTTCTGCGTAATCTTGAATATTTCCAACTCTTCCATTCCCCTCTGTCGCCCTCGATTCAATGCCAATTCGTATCCAGCTGCTCTCACCCGACTAACCACTGGCTTGCGTGTATCTCTTCCCTCGCCGAACGAAAACATAAAGCTATCATGTGTCTTTGATGATGCACTCGAAGTATTATTGTTCCATACACCAGAAGTGTACATTCCGAAAATCTCCTCGGTTGATTTGATCTTCATTATCATTACCGTCTTCGCTTGTCCTCCACATTGCTTTTGCAATGCTTGTTGAGTATAGCCGTCCTTTGAGCCGCGCATGAGCAGTGTGAAGTCGTAAGGAATCTCAGTGTGAGAGTAGGGAGTTTCCTCGCGGCGGTCAATCCACGAAGAAATCAACGCTGCATGTTTATAGGCAATGAGATTTGAGTCCATGGGCTTGAGACGAGGCGCGAAGGGATTCGGTTCCTGTCTGGGTGTCAAAAAATTCCACATAACGGTGTCGCAAAGTTCCCTGGGTAACAGTTCGTGGAATGGCCATACCTCCTCGCGAAATTGCTCGGGTGTCATGGCGGTGAACCGGATGAACGGAATGCACTCGTCAACGGACTTCTTAAAGACTGCAAAATACTCTGGTGGCCATTTTTTCGGATCTTCGGAATCGGTGGCGGCGATGGATGGGGGGTGCTGGACGAATGCCCATTTGATTAAGTAGTTCCAAAGATCGACCTCCTCGATCGCCAAGTCATCCCTCATCAATAAAGAGCGTAAGACTTTACTGTCCAAGCAGTAGAAATAATCGGAGTTTAAGAGCATATGTGGATCAGCACAAATGGCATCCAGGCAATAGGTTTGGAGGGTAGAATAGTTGTCGTTGGTGAAGACGAAATCGAGGACGTGGTAAAAGTTTTCCTGGATCCAGGTGGATTGAATGGAGATAAGAAATTCTTGGATTTCGAAGACTAGTTCGGGAAGAATCAGCTCATCGGCGGCGGTTAATAGGCTCAACAAGAATTCTCCTTCTTTATTTTCGACGTCTATAATGCCTGTATATAAATACCTAATGAAATGATGGAATTAAGATTTATAGATCCAAATTCTTGTTGCGACTACTGTTTATGGTTTGTCACTCACTTCAGTATGACCTTGAAAACTGACGGGGAAACATTGGGTTTGTAAAAAACTATTTGACCGTCTTCGGTGCGAGCCCACTCTTTTGACAATGCTCGATGAAAGTATGGTGAATGCGCCCGAAGGATGACCGAATGAGCTTTAAAGGATTTCACCAATGGTTCTCGACCAACGGTTATTATTAAATCGTGACCTTCTGTGTCTTCCAACAGACGTGCAAAATTTTGAGCGAAGGTGTGCCAGGAATTTGTTGGCGACATTTTTTCTGTGGTGGGAGGTGTAGTGGACATGTGATATATGGTTTTTTGTTACTGGATACTTATATTACGTATGATATTGTTCCGAGATTGGTTTTTGCAAGCTGTGTAAAAATGTGGTATATATATACTTGTTGCTTCAATCTGAGATAGATTCTGCGTTTATTACTGTTCTCGACCTCACGTCAATTATTTATAAAAATTTTCTAATCCAGCAAGAATTGAGACTGGATTAATAAAGAATACAACCAGAAGAATGGGTAATGATAACAATCTTGTGAAAATACAATTTTGTTTGTTTTTTTTTTTTTTTTTTTGAGAATAAAAAAGGTTGACGACAATCTATGAATAACAATCCACAAAGTTACCCCACATTGTCCGTCAGCTATAATACACAGTACGTAGAAAAAAAAAAAATTTTTTACATGATGACGCATAATTTGAGCAGCGTCACTTACCTCGTGCATAATGTCAACAGCGCATATTGTATTTTTTTATCTTTTCATAGCTCCTAATATTCCTTAGCCGAAAAAAATTTTTACAAACCTCAAGGGAGTCAAAATGTTGCACAGACAGGAGAGCATATGACCGACACTAATTGCGACAGGTCCATTCTTGGAAAACAGATGACCCTTAGAGTATTCAAAGAATTGCCTGATTCACATCATCTCATTTCCCGCCTTTGCAAAAGCTCATTGACTTTACTATAATTGGTTAATGATTAACTCCTACGTGCCAAGGAAAATTTTTCTTACCATTGTTTTTTTTTACTCGCCACTAAATGACAGGATATTGCCGTAACTTTTCGGCTATGATGCATATAAGAACACCAATTTTTCGCAATTATTCTGCCTCAAAAGTGATTTGCGAATGTAGCTAAAAGCTTAATTTATTTTTTTTCTTAAATATGTTCTGTACACATACATCCAATTAATTTGTTAGATGACTCGATGTCGACAGTGAGTTTTTCCTTAAGTTACAATAAGCTATTTAAGAATGTGTATAAATCTTTTATTATATACGCGGCCTCTTCGATAGAATAAATAATTGGATAATTAAAAAATTGAGGTTACTGTATATACTGTATAAAACCTTTTTTTATTATAAAATCATAATTTTATACTCTATATAATTCATGTTATAACCTCTATACAATAAAATTGTTGCTAACTTGTTTCGGTTAATATGTTTTTCGATTAAGATTTTTTGTTTAAATCTTAATATTTGCAATATACTGTATTTTTATAATTTAAGTGCAATTGATGAATTTAATTTATATTATATATAATACAATATATTAAATAATATATACATTATACTATATACTGTATATTTAAAAACTTTTTCTTAATCACACACAAAAAGGATGTTTACAAGAATTTTTATACTTTTATACCAATGAAGTTTTATTATTTTTCTTAAAACAATTTGAAAGATAATATCAAAAATCATTTCTATTCCTCCTTTCTTGTTTATATTTCTTTTCAAATAAAAACTTGATTTTTGATAATCAAAAAAAGTCAAACAATAATTATTTTATCTTAGCAAAAAAGTTTTTTTTTTTTTTTTTAATTCGTAATCATGTCACAATGGCATGTTTTTATTGAAAAATTGAAATAAATTTATAATATTTTATAGACTTTCATAAAGTGACTAATCATCTTTATACAAAGTATTCTAAGTCAGATTTTGCGAACAATATTTCACTTCCCTAATAAATTGGTAATAATCTCTATCTACCAGGATCATTGCCAACAGTTTATCACTGTAAATTGCCCAAAAATCAATGAATTGCTAAATTAAAAAAGGGAAAAGGGAAAAAAGGATTAGGGAAAGGGAATAATTCAAGACTAACCAAAAAAATCCAAAAATAAAAACAACCTCTTCTTAAAAAGGATCTTCCTGACTGGAATGATCTTTTTGTTTTACTTGAACCTCAAAAGAAATCTTCTTTTTCACCACTTGCGATATCAAATAAGTCAATCCAACTGGTCTTTCATTTAAGTGAGTACCAAATTAGGATATCTCAAGGAAAGCATTTAAACCTTAGCTTTTTTCCATTAAAGCTTTATCACCACTTGAAGAACTTAGGTGAGAAACAAAAGTTTGCAATCCACATTACCTATCACTTGATCTTTTGGTATCATGGAAGTTTTCATTAAGTGACTAGAGTTTTTTTAGAGGGAAACTTTTCCAGAACATTTATTTCAATCACTAATGATGTTATCAGAACATGTGAATATGACCAATAGGAACTTGTTTACATTTTAAAAACTAATGTATTTTGTGTCAGCCAATCACCTTTGGTAAGGATTTGTGCTACTAAAAATTCAGGGTCAAACTGAAGTAGGTAAAATTCACCAGAAAACCATTAAAGCGATAGCTCTAAGAGACCCACAAGTAACTGAAAGGGGAAAAATAAGTCCTTCTATCATCAAAAACCTCTATATATCTCTTACTTCAAAGGTTAAATAGACCTTCAGGTACTTTACAGTTAGTTCTTTTTCTTTTGAAAACTTTCTTACCATTGATATTAAAGGTGTTACTTGACTTTTCTTGGTCACTTAAAGTCAAGTTTTTGAGTGAAAAAGTTTGTAAACAAAAGAGAAAAGATAGAAGTGACTTTTGAAATCATACTTCAAGTTGTTTTAATAAAAGTATCAAGACTTTATTAGCAAAGAAATATAAAAACTTCTTGTAAACATCTTTTTTGTATGTGATCAGAGGATCAGCGAAAAGAGTTTTTTTTATCATATATATACTATCTTAACAAGAAAGTTTTAAAAGAAAGACAAATCAATAATATAGTATTAAAAATCTATTTCTAAAATAAAAGTATATATAGAGATCTTTTGCAATAGAAAAATAAGTAAAGAAAAATCTAAACCTTGAAAACTTTTTTATTTAGTTTTTACTTTCTTACAGTTATTTATTTTTTTATTTTAATTTGATTTAAATCTTAAAGTAACATAAACATATATATTTTTTACTAAAAGTAATTAGTTAACATGAAACATATTGATAAACTTTTTCCACTGATCCTCTGACCACACACAAAAAAGATGTTCGCAAGAAGTTTTATACTTCTTTGTTAATAAAGTCTTTATACTTTCATTAAAACAACTTGAAGTTTGTCTTCATATATCTCCCTTACTTGTTTGTAAACTTCTTTAATAAAAACTTGAGCATCTAATGGCTTGAAAAGACTCAAGTATGTACTTACTTTACTAAGGACAAGAAGGTTCTAGGAAGTAAAAGGACTGACAAGTGAAATATTACCTTACAGAGTCAAAAGTAACAAGAAATAGAGGTTTTGTTGACAAGAAAAGGCTTATTATCTACCTTCTTACATACTGCCTTGTATCTTCTTAAAGTGTCTACTATTTTTTATGGTTTTTTTGAGGGATTTTGCCTACCTCAGTTTGATTCTAAATTTCTAGTAGCACAATATTACTTGGCATCTGATTGGTTAACACAAAACACGTTAATAACTAAATATAAACAAGCTCCTATTGGTCACTTCATGTATTTCGATGATGACATTGGTGATAGAAAGAGTTAATTGGTAACTCGTGTCTGCCCCATTTCTTCAATTGAATTAACCTATAGATTAAGTATCATAAGGTCAATAAGATATAAGTAACAAGTCCCCAGGTAATGAAAAAGCTGTTATTTGTTCAAGATAAGATTTTTCTCTTATTATTCCAGTCAGGCAAGGTTCAAAACCAAGGTCTCCTTTTTATCCCAATTAGACAATAAGATTGAATGGTCTCTAGTCCATGCTAAGCTCCAATTTTTTGATTACAGTTGAGAATGCATTTCCCTAGAAGTTGTTGAAAAATATCACAATTAATGAGGATCCCTATTACTACTGTTATTCTTCTACTATTACAAGACAAAAGGATTATTAGGGAATCTGACCTTTTGGATAATGGAAGATATATACCAATAAAATTCGTTTAATTAGGCATAGTTGTTGGAAAGTATTATACTGAAACAACATGACCTAATCCTTACTAGGTAATATAAGAACTTGGGATTCATTATAAGTCATTTCTCTATTGTAGGTGGATAAAAAATCACTACTTAAAGAAAGTTGGGACTAAGTATGTCCTGGAATTAAAGGTTCCCACTAGGCAATAAGTCTCCTCAGATAGTACACAAGAAGGAAATCAAGATCAAGAATGGATAAGTTCCTCAAATGGTTAGGAAAAGAAAGGATATTCTAATCAGGTATTTCTTATTGAGAAGAGGTCTTGAAAAGCAGATCTTTGGAAGAAGTTGGAAATATTTTTTCAATTTTACTCTTTTATTTTCTTGTTGTCTGCTTAGATATTTTTAAACATTCTCCTCCCCTTTTTTCAACTTATCCTTTAATAGTTTCCTGTATTTCAGCAGCTTGATCAGATATATAGTAGTGATAACTAATGATGGATCCCTAAAGTATTTAATATATAAAATTTCGCAGATCACTTATGTCCCTTTTTGAGGGACAAAATTCATAGCTCTTTACTTTAATAGGGACAAAA